CCAATGTATTACTTTTATGATTTCAAATAAATGGGAGACAGCTGTCTTTCGAAAACCCTCATTTCTGAGAGTGATAAAACATAATCCAAAACTGAGAAGATAAACTAAAAGACATGGTTTGATCACATTCTATCTTCTGTCACTTTTCATGTGTCACGTCCCAACCGGCTTTAAACAAAGTGAACCTCTTAATCCTTTTACAATCCTTTAAAATAAAATATCTTGAAATCCTAATAAATTAATCCTAGAAAATGAGTCCTAGGCTTTTCACATGGTCCTTGATTGGAAGGAGTGTTTTACTCTCCTTTTTAGGATATGAGGGCAGTGTGAGCACTTACCTTTTGGATTACTCCTTTGCAGTCGTGACACAAGGCCAGGTTTGCGAGGCACAGAAAGACCACCTGCTGTACGGCGGTGCTCTCGAGAGGCGCCTGGGAGGCCAGCCTCAGGACACACAGCATCAGGGAGCTGCCGGGGGCGCCTCTGCCTGCAGCTTGCACAGGGTGCTGTCCGGAACTTGACCAGCAGAGAGAACTGCAACCTTGAAAAATAACAGCCTGTCACAAGGTCTTCTCAGTTCCACTGTTTAGTTAAAAAAGAACCGAAGCGGTAAAGCCTATATCAGTCTATCGATGACTCAGCCGTTAACCTGTGAACTGCAAATTAGCACTGAAGGCGAGTGGTGATGAGTACATTCAACCTAATGGATGCACTGTCCTCATTACGGGCCTAATGATCACAACAGAGCATTGAAAAACAGTAGGTTTACTTTTTTTAAATAATAAAACATGCATAATAGGTTCTTTAATAGTTCCTAAAGAAGACATCTAATTAAAGGCCTATACAGAAGAACAGAATTTTAAAAATGGGAGGTAACTTGGTCTAATGCCTTCATTTTACAAAAAACAAAAACAAAAAACAAGGAACCCAATAATTCTGGGCTGGGAGGGCAGGGCAAATGCTACCAGCCACAGTGCCAGATGACGGTACCGAGCTCAGAGACATCAGTGACTGGCTCAAGGTCACACAGCTCACAAGCAGCAAGAACCAGCAGTGGCGTCCACTCGTTTTCCAAAGTCTAGTGTCTTCTCAGTAAATTAAACACCATATGGGATTTACCAAGGGAGATGGATAATCACAGAAGAATTAGAAATACACGTGAGAGTACTGTAACATAAACCAAAGCTGTCGCTAACTTAGGGACGTGCAAGGCGGCCAGCTGAAGTGTAACTAGATTAGAATCAAGTACGTTCTGTAAAATAAACACATGAAAACAAGTAAACACAAGTAAATTCCTTGTGTTCACATTATATAAAAGTATCCAAATACCGCTGTTTGCATCAAGTATTACTTGAAACTGTCACTAACAATGCAATTTTGCAAACAAGCCAGACAGGAAAAGCGAAAATTTCTTCCTCCATTTCGTGACCTCATCACATTCTAATAGTTATATCAATTTCAAGAATAAAAGTAACATAGATAGTAGTTTCAAAAGCTTGATACTAAACTAAACATTTCTTCTGCTCAATACTTAGCAACTGATTCCTTTTCCTCCTTACTTCCCTAAACCCTAAACTAAGGTGTAAAGGGTGGGGTACAGAAGAACCACGCACAGACTCCACGCTTCTGCTTGTGGAAAGCCACACGCTGGTCAAGCTGCAGGAGGGGAGGGGAGCTAGGTGATGCGGGGCGGGCACCGCCCAGGCGGAGGTGGGGACCAAAGGTGCACAAGGGCTGCAGTGACAGGTCGGGGTCAGGAGCCCGCGGGTCTGCTTAGGTCAGTTCGCACTTGCCGGAGACAGCTCCAGAGTGGGGGCCCCGCCGGTGTCCACCCATCAGGAACAGGCGGGACCCAGCCAGGGTGGGGTCTGGGCTGTCTGCAGGTCCAGTCCTTCCTCTGTCTTTTGCTGCTCTGGAGAGCCCAGGCGCTCAGCTGCCGAGTGTTGCGGAGGAAAACATGCAGACTTGCTGACCAGATAAGCCTTAAATGTAGGGCCCTCAGGTTTAGTTTATTCTAACTTTTAAAATTTTGGACACACAGTATTCTACTGTTTCAGGGGCACAGCACAGTGGTTAGACGTGAATAACTTAGAAGCAATCACCCCGATAAGCCCAGACCCGCTGGCACCAGACCTAGTTTCCCAATATCATTGATTACATCCCCCGCGCTGTACTTTCCGGCCCCGCGCTTGTCTGTATACCGGCCATCTGCATGACTCCGAGCTCTCGGCGGCAGTTACCGCCACCAGCAGGCCTGCCTCACCTCCCCCGCAGGCTGGCTCCCCCTCCGCGCAGGCAGCCGCGTCACAGCTTCTCCTCTCTTCTCAAATCACCTCTACGCTTCTCCGTGCTCACTCTCAGCTGTTAGCCTCGAAGCATGTAAGGCCCATAGCAGGCCTTCAAGAGAATGTCACCCAGATGGTGAAGGAAAGAGGTGCCCAATAATACCAACTGTCACTAAACCGGCTGTATCCAGACGCACCTCGCATCACACCAGTCTCCTGTTCTAGAATCCATGAGTTTTAACCTTTACCTGGTTTTTAAGGCCTTACTATCAAAATTTTCTCTCCATTTTCCTACTAAATTCAGTTTCCCACTGACACAGTCAGGCCAGTTTCTCCCTCTCTGTTTCCTGAGCTGTGTAAGAACCCTTCCGATCTCAAGAAACTTACTAACGTACCCACCACAAGAATGTGCGCCTTTAACCAACATCCCTCAATCAGCAGGAGAAACACTTCAAACTACGCATTCATTTCTGCAATCCA